TGCGGGCGACATCGACCTGTGGCGCACGGACAAACATTTCTATCTGTGTTGTCATTTTTTTGTCGTTTTTTTTCTGACTTTCCGTGTTGGTTTTGTGTGATGACATCGTCACCGGTTTTGTAGAGAGACCCGTCAGAGATGGCGTGGCTAACCCGGGTGCATTGGTTTTGTGCCTGATCGTGGAAGACCCCTTCAATGTGGAACGATTCTTAGCTAGTGTCGATATTTTTTCACTGCAGTGCCTACACATCGATCGGGAGAGATTCGGGTGATTGTCAATTGCTGCTATGATGGCTTTGGTTGGTTGTTCTTTTTCACTGTACGGCCGCAGACACATTCTGACAGCACTTCAGACAGCAGCTTTGTGCCCCGCCAGCTGCTTGTTCCATCCATGCCTACCATGGTGTTTTTGTACAGACAGCACTTCAGACAGCAGTATGCTGTAGTCGGCAATCTTCCGTTTTGGTTTTGAGTGGGACGGGGAGGGTGATGCTACTGTAGTCGAACGGTGGGACGGACGTGCAGTTCAGTTTTTGGGCACGCATAGGGTGCTGCAGGGATTTTAGGTGTACCTCTTCGGGCTCTTGGATACCTTTTTCTCGTTATATGTGTGCGTGTTCTTTAGATCCTCAGATGGCTCTAGCACTTTCGTGACCACGGGCTGAGAGTCTTTTGCTAGATTTTGGCATTTGGCAACTGACATACGATTTAATGTGAAGACAACAACAACAACAACAACAACAGTTCGGCCCGGTCGAATGCGGTTTGCCCGGCGTGTACAATTTGTCCTTAATCTCCGGCCACTCCTGTTTTGATAACAATAAGGGAGGTGAGTAAAGCGATATTTATCATGAAAGCAAAGAGTGGTAGAGGGGCAGCAAATACATGTATTATATCGAGAAAAACAACACTAATTATACGAATAGTCCGTGTCCACTCACAGTGTTGCATGTGGCCGTAACAAAATACGACGGAGGCCCGAAGCGTCGCAAGATGGCTCACGCCTCCGTGAGTTTTTTCCCCTGATCCGCAAACCCACCGCTAAAGCTGGACGGTATGATAACTCTATCGGCTGGGGCAGATATTGTCCCGAGGTATCTTGATATCCGTGACAACGCCGAATTGTGGTGTAATGACGTGCGGTATTTGTCTTGGTTATGTGCGTTAAAGGTGAGTCGTTGATCCTCGATGCAGCTGAATACGCCGATGAGGAATTCGTTTACCAAGGGACCAAGTTGTTGAAATCAGGGTTCCCGTACCAACATCTGTGTTACCCATTGTGCGAGCGTGATTTTATTCCCAGTTGTGCATTTCATGGAAAGGTGCCAGCCTGGTGCCCCGCCTTATGGGAAAAGCAGTGGGAACGTGAACGGAAAATAGTCCTTGTCGTAAGCGTAGATGACGTTCTTCTCGCCGGTAAGTGTCCTCGTCATCGCTGCTCTGTCACGTGGCATCACGCCTTTATCCCGTTTGTTGGCGGCCATTATTTCCGCAGAAGGAGCACCAGGCGACGAAAATGCTAAGGAGTTTGATATCGCTCTGGATCGAGGCCTAATGCGGCAGGCGTAGGAAAAGAAGTGTTGTTCTTTGGAATTTTCGCGAGTGTTTTTTTACAGATGAATGCACATTGCAATGCATACAGCGTATTTCTGATAATGAAACATATGGAAATATTTGGTATCCATCGGTTTGAAGTAGACTACTTAATTGTGTTTTTTGCACAACGCACACACCGGTTGCTCATTGCAGCTTTTGGACGGTCAATTAATGGCGAGACCTGTTGTAAGGCCGTCCTGATCTTTGTCATGATGTTTTCATCGAGTTGACCGTAGCTGTAGTCGTGCAGTAGCCACTGAACGTTGGAATGCGAGCTTTCCGTCACTGAGTGGTAAGTCCTGTAATTCATACGGGGGTGGAACGGACACGTCGATAAAAACTCGAAGTTAAATATGTGTAAATCAACCGTTCAGCAGGTAACGTTGTAGGTCGAACATATGCACATTCGACTGTATGTAGTAGCAATGGAATTTAGAAATAAAGGACGGTACCTCACCTTCCTTGGACGGAGAGCAGGTGGTCACCGAACATCCGCTTTAGTTCTCCGCCTTCGACATTCATCGACGCGAAGTTGGAACGGCAATTGTACGCCCTGGATTCTTTGCGGAATTTTTGTGCGGGTGGATGAGTGGATGTGTAGAGGTCTTGGAGAATGGGTGGCAGGGGTGGCAGTCGTGGACGAGCGTTTTTCCCATTTTTGCAGCATATCCCTTTAGACTTCTTCGCGAATAGCATGGCTCCACAATGTACGCAAGGGTCAGAGCGTTCCATCGTCATTCCCATTTCGTCGCGCGCATGAAAGAGTGCTTCACGTCGCTGGGTGATGACAGTGTTCAGACCCGATATGTCCCCTTGCGTAAGCATCATGTTGTGGATCGTCGATTCCGTTCCGGGACGACGTTACGAACTCAAAATGTTGTCCAGACGATCCCTCTTCGCCGCAATAATGTATGTCATATCTGCGTTTTTTCCGATGGGTTTGACGACGTTTCCTGTTGGAGGATGGTTTGGGCTGGGTGGCGCTCAGTCGTGTCTCCGTGTTCGTCGCAGCATTATTGTTCGCTTGTCGTGCGCTTCGCCTCCTCGCGTTTAAGGCCAATTTGTTCCGAGCACGATGCGCACGATTTTCCTCGTTCTTGCGCAATCGCTGTCGTTCATTGTTTGTCCTTTTTCGATGGATGTCCATCCGAACAGTAGCAGGATCACGAGACATATCTCGAAGATTTCGAAGTGGAGTGTAGATGTCATTCGCAATGGTGGTCGCTAGACGTATACATAACTCTAGTTTGCATGTGTTGCTGCAGTTGATAAATAGACTACAATAATAGTCGGGCCGACTTGGAACGTTACTGATTTCCGTGAAGGCGGTCTGCATGTCATGCTTGATGGTTGATTCGACGACGACACGCTTGTGATGCTGTTGCGGGTGACCCGCACGTACTTGGGAGTCCAATGGCACGTCTGCTACACATATTTAGAAGGCTGCAGGATTTTTGCTGTAACGTGAACTGTGTGCGTGACACAGCAAGTTTAGAAACCGAGTTGGTCGTTGTCGTACAGCAACCGACAGCAGTCCCTGCGTGCATGTTGCTTCGGACAGCAGCAGCAGGCCACATACAAGCTTCGTTGCTGTGCACGCCGGACGGTCACCATCACCTGCAACGACAAACAAATAATGGGTCGAAATGCTCGTCTGCTTCACAGCATCGAAACGTCATAACTGTAACGTAGACTGTGTGCGCGACACGGCAGTCAGAAGTTGGGTTGTCTTCGTTATCGTAAACTACAGCAGTAGTGTCCTTGGGTGCAAGTTCCTTGGGACAGATGCAGCAGCAGCAGGGCACATACGTGCTTGGTTGCTGTGCACGTCGGACAGACGCCATATCACCCGCAGTGATGATTAGATGAGGGTTCGCAATGCTCGCCTGCTTCACAGCAGAGGGAATCTTAGGGGAATGTCCGTATAATGCAGTGTATACGGTGTGTCGCCTGTACGGGTTGGGTGTACTTGCAAAATTCATTGCCGTTGTAATTGTTGAGCAATCACACGCTAGCGCTTACATTTCCTTCGCGAACTTAGGCCATGACTTGCAGTGACATACCGATGGGAGCTCGGAAGACTGCTGTACATCAGTGGGATGCTGTGTCTTCGTGTGCCAACCGTATTACAGCAGTAGTGTTGACGCAGAAACTTCGTTTTGTAGTCCACACGGATACAGCAGCTTCAAAATTAATAATGTCACCAAAGAGATGCGTAGAATTTTTTTAACACTATTTTCTAGTAGTGCGTCCTGCCATGACATTTCTACAAAGAATATACGTACCTTGATCACGCGCCCGCTGTATTTATAGCGGTGCAAATACCTGCTTGAAAAATTGTACCCCCAGGGTTAAACTGTTCCTGTTGTACTGCTTGTGCAACGTCTTAAACTGTTCCTGTTGTACTGCTTGTGCAACGTCGCGTACACGAGAACGATCACGCCCCCCTTTTGCCTCCGTCACGCAGTCCAGCGCCGACGACTTCTTCCTCCAGTGCAACGGCAAGCGCTTCAACAGCTTCGAGGAGACGACCTGCAGAGTTGTCTTCGTCGCCAAGGCAACTTTCGACCTCCCGGCCGACTCTTCCCCCCCGCACACGCCCCCCGCAGGGTCCGCGGTCGGGGCTGCTGCAACGGCAGCAAATACCGCCGCAACCACAAGCGGTGGCGGCGGCATCTCGTCCTCAGCAGGAACGCCACCGCAGCTTCGCGCGGTTCGGCGCTTCTCGCCTATCGGCGGTGGCGGGTCTGGGGCGGCGGCGGCCGCCGCGGCCGCAACGGCCGGAGTGGGGGGAGGGTCGTCTCCGGAGAAGGCTGCTGCTGCTGCCGCGGTTGCGCAGGCGGCCGGGTGGGAGTACGACGCGTCGACGTGCGTGATTTGCATGGAGCACATGGAGTCGAGGGTGCTCACGACGGTGTGCAACCACAGCTTCCACGTCGAGTGCCTCATGAAGTGGCAGGACAGCCCGTGCCCGGTTTGCCGCTTTCACCACAACAACGCTAGCGAGGCGTCCACATGTCAGGTAGGGCGGAGTGGGGGTATGTAGGGTGATGACAAGGACTGGCGTGGTGTCTTTGGTGCGATGAGCTAGCTGGCATGCGGGTTGCTGGCTTGTCGGTGGGAAACAGAGATGCATTTTACTCCCCCCCGTCCGGCCTAACCGTTTAACCATGCCTGCTGTGGGTGTATGCTGCTGCCTACTTCTGGTGGCGTTTTTTCCCTGCTTGCCCTCTATCCCCTCGAGCGCGTAGGAGTGCCAAGCAACAGATAACCTTTGGGTTTGCTTAATTTGTGGAAGCGTTCTGTGTGGATCTCGACATGAAGATCACATTCGCGGGCACTACAACAGCACGCTGCACGCGTACGCCATCGAAATAGGTGAAGTCTTGTTTTGCGCCGCTCCTCCTTCTTCAGTATCTGCTTGCGACCGTTTTGTCTCATAGTGTTGTTGCGTTGCTTGTTCTTGAATAGCACCTCTGTGTAGCATCATCCCGTCTTGTGCTTCCGTGTTAGTATCGAGAAGTTCCCTAGTATTCAATTGGTGCAAACAGTTCTTCGTCG